TATCTAGCTCCTCTTGAGTGGAACAGGTAACCAAACAGTCATCTGTATACCTACAGTAGAGTAATGGCCGGAGATCCATCACTGGTGCTTCCACTTTAGACATAAAGGCAATGGCCACGCTAGGTGCCAGTCGTTGCCCCATTGCCAGCCCTCTTGTTTGAGCATAACAAATCCCGGACCATCTGAAGACTGAGCAGTTCAGGCACTCTTTTAATAGGACCGTGAACTGCTCAGTCGACAAGCCATACATTTTTACAGCTCCCTGGTGTTGTACCAGAAGCTCATGTGTGGCTTGCAATGCGGAGTCATTCGACACATTGGTATATAAAGCAGTGACATCGAATGACTCCATTACGTACGCGTTCTTCGGGCACGCGTTACGTAGACGATCCAGGAACATCTGAGTGTTCGTCAAATGGGCTGGAATGTGTCCTAGCAACTGGGATGTTATTAATGTTAAAAACCATGCTATTTAAAAACCAACGAATAAAGTTTAATGTAACACCTCGTGTTTTGCTTAATGAAGAAAATCAGAAATCTTCCATGTTAGAAGCGACACAAACCAATTTCATCTATTTCTGAGTCACTTGATTGTAGATAACTTTTCAGAGAAAATTTGTATGCAAAATTAATACAGAAGCACTTAGACATGGTATGCCAGCCAAGGAAGCGACTGTAAACATCTATTGCTGCTTTGAGTTTTTTCTGTCTACCATTGCCATATTGAATCAGCTCAATTTCGACGTGAACGTGATATGGGGTGCCACAATTTTGTAGAAAATTATATTGTTTAGTTGAAAAAATAGTGGCATGGATTACTAAAGCAAGCCCTGTTCTAAATAAAACCGAGAAATTCAGATGCGGTGACCAAAATTACCCAGATCATACAGATTGCTAGTAAATTGTGTTTATTTCGCTCATCGAAATTCAATTTCAGAAGTTTGATTTTGATAAGCCGACTAAGGAGCGTGCCCTGTCGGATATTAATACAACCGATTATGATGACAGCAACGAACCTCTCCTTAGTGTGGAACCCTCTCAATCCGAAATAGCAGTTATGGATAAAGCAAATTTGGTAAGTGATTTGAACCTTGTATCCTTTCCTTCCAGTATGGGTAATACTACACTGACAGTAGTCATCATGAATTCGTCATTGGCATCGTAAGCACATTTAAAAAACTTGAGTAGAAAATCCAAAACCACAAGACTTGTCAGCCTTACGTTCTATAATACGAAGACTTCACACGATACTTTTGTAAAAGAAGCACATGAATAAATTTGCGTCGCATAATTCAAGCGATTAATGCATGACTTATAGAGGCCCCTCACTGACGAGACCTAATGATTTTTCAGCATAAGCTTTAAACGTCAGTAAATAAACTTTTATACTTTTACATTCGACTGTTTTATTGACCCTCGCACGAAACAATGTATAATCTGACAACATATCTTGAGCCTTTCATTAAATCTGTTATAGCACATATACAGTGCTTAGACACGTGTGTCGGCTGTTTTCACCTGAAAGGAGGTGATTTCGAGAATTCGGCGTCGCTTCCTCTACATTTAAGGGGTATACGTCCCTGCAACTGATTGGCTGAACCAAAAGGCACAGTGCTTTTGATGAGGCGGTAATGCTGAAGCACGTGTCTTACACTGTAAAAGTGCCAGAACAGACCTCATGAAAGGCTTAAGATATGTTATCAGAATATAAAATTCCATGTTTGCAAATATAGTGTCTTTTTTTTTGCAATTTTTGCAAAGCATTAGATAGATTGGGATGAGGAACGTGTAGCCACGAATTTCGCCAATTCTCAGTGATCGTTTGCGAAAGAGATATGGAATGAGGAGAAAAGAGTTCATTATAATTTAACCACTACTTTAGAAATTTCGAATGCAAATTCGGTTTCAATCATTTCTAGCGACTGATTTGGCGAATGAACGTTGGCCTACAATTTTCACCATTGCAGAAGGACTTGCCAGTTGTGAAGGCCTTTAATGCAGCCGAGAAGGAAAGAATGTCAAATTCATGAAAATGTGATCGACTCCTAATTAATCAAATTTTGATGTGCAGATTCAACACATGTATTTTCGCAACGTTTTCCTCAGTACAGATCTTGTACAATCACAACAACTTTCTTTGTACTATCTATAGCTCTTCGATATGTGAAGTAGACGTCTGTTCTTTATTGCTAAGATAAGAGTATCAAATCAACTTTGGTGTTAATAATCAATATCTTAGTTTATTTACACAATCGTGTGGAACTTTTGCAAAATCATATTGTGACTATATTATACTATTCTATCATCCTCTTCTTCAAAACCACAATGAATCCGGATGAATTTTCGCGCGATATGAGTATAACAGTGTTGATTCAGTGGAAACAGAAGCGGTTATAGAGGCTCTGGATAACCAGGGCGTCCCTACTCGGTACCTAATGATCCTTCGTGAGCTTTATAAAGATTTCACGACCAATATCTCCATTCTACAACAATATCACTATTGACATAAGAAGTGAGGTTCGACAAGGCGATACAATATCGCCAAAACTATTCACTGCCACCCTACAAAACGTCATGCGAACATTAGAATGGGACGAAATGGGAGTGAAAATTGACGGTCGACAATTAAACCATCTTCGCTTTGCTGACGATATCGTTCTCATAACACCAAACATCAGCGAAGCGGCACGAATGTTGACTGATTTCGATAACGCCTGTGGAAAGATCGGTCTTCAACTGAATCTAACGAAAACAATGTTCATGAGGAACGGATGGGTTTCTAATGCCCCATTCACGCTCAACGGAACGACAATTTCCGAATGCTCCAGTTACATCTATCTAGGTAGTGAAATCAACATGATGAATGACCTAGCCCCAGAGTTGAGCAGGAGGAAACGAGCGGCTTGGGGAACGTTTAACAGCATCGAAGATGTAGTGAAGAGGACAAAAAACATCAGACTCCGTGCCCACCTTTTCGACTCGACAATTATCCCTGCCCTAAAGTATGCAGCAGAAACCTGGTCGCTACGTAAGCAGGATGAAAGATCACTTGGAGTTATCGAACGCGCAGTCGAAAGGTCGATGCTAGGAGTATCCCGTATTTCGCAAATGAGACAAAGGATCCGAACTTCCGACCTACGTCAACGATCGAAAATCAGAGACGCCGTTCTACACGCCAGGATATGGAAAATAAGGTGGGCCGGACACGTGATGCGCTTCAACGACAACCGATGGACTAGAGCAGTTACTGACTGGATTCCTCGGGACGTCAAGCGCTCTTAAGGAAGACCACTGACCCGTTGGTCCGATTTCTTCACGAAAGCGATGGAAGAAAGATATGATGCTCAGCGAATTCCTAGAGCGAGGAGGACCCACTGGGCTACTCTTGCATGCGATGGGGAAAAATGGAGGAGTTGCTGGTACCCGCTCGAGTCACTCGACGATCAACGGGACGACAGGTGACAGGTGATGAGTATGACAAAGAAAACTCATATGTTGGGAATTACATCTACAAAACTTTTTGTCAAAGTGTATTAGTCGAATTCTGGTCTGTGTCTTGTATGGGTTCTTGCACACCATGACCAAATGGGCTGCTTGGCCTTATTGCGTTAAGATAACCATTTATGTAAAGCCTCCAACGCAGACCTTCATTCAGGTGGTTTAAAATGGCCTTTGCAACCTCGCTATTACAACTCTTTGAGGTACTAACAAAATCTGGCAATGGCTACTTGTCTTCAGTCAAATCACCGATAGTAAATTTTGCCCCTAAATCGCATTTCTTATCTTTATTGATGGTCGCGAAAGCAATATCTGATGAACACTGTAGAAAAATCGTGGACATCCTCCTAAACTGCTGATGTGTGGATTTTTGTGATCTTCTTTTGAGGAACTCTCTTGCGAGGTTCGTACTTTTCTCTTCAGCCACTTCTTTTCGTTTAGCTTGGTTAACGACTGGATTTTGTAGCCTAATAACACGTAAGCGTAATTGTCTTCAGATAGCATCTTGCATAAAAGCACAAGTATAGTCTTTCAAATTATACTGGGAAGGTTTTTACACCTACAGAACCCTAGTGTATTCTGGTAACACTTCCATAACTAACATGAATCATTAGCGGCAACTGTTGAAAGAGCAGAAAGCGACTTCCCAAGTAAAATGTAAAATAATGGATAACCCAAAAGATTTGGAGTGGTTATGACAAAAATCATATATAGGAGCGGTATTGTTTGATATGGATGGTCCATTCCCTACTAAGACACTAAGGTGGGAAGTGATTGGAAACGCTGGGAAACTGTTTATGGACGCCTTCGATCAAGCGGCGGCATATTTTCCTTAAGCTTAAGCTAGCAAGTCATACGTAGATTACTGCTTCTGCATTATTTGCTCATATCTCTTTCCAATCATTATTTAACCACATATAAATGTAATGCGCATCTTCTTTGATGACTTCTTATGTTAAGATTACTAACTGTAGGCAAGGAAAGGATATAACACCCGTAATCTACAAGTATATACATAGAGGGTAAAAGATTTAGCTCTTGGCGTTATCAATCCCTAAAGGGTGCACCATGCATTCGTCTTCATCCAATGACTCAGGACGGTCTATCGATGTTTCATGTCAGTTACTATTTCAAACAAGCCTGGTGCCATTTAACGGACCCCGGAGGAATGGAAGGCTTAGTGAGCCTTGAGCGCTGGGTCAAAACATCGACCCTCGATTGATCGACCCACGTGTGTGTTGGCAACCACATGGGCTGTTTTGAAAAAATTTTCGATATGATTTATCACGTTATCATAGCAAGAACGTATACCTGGGTGTTGAATTTCGGTGCTCAAGCAGGCTGTTGTGCTTCTCCGTTAGAAGTACTCTACAATTCTCTTTAGCAGCAATAAGTCCCCACTGACGAAGTGAACTCGAAATTTCTATTGTTTTCACTGCCTTTTTCGCAGTGTTGTGATGTTTCATATATTCCAGAGATAACTAAGTGGTGAGCAAAAACGCGACCTCAGGCGGAAATCGAACCCGTGTTCCATCCTATCCGGGGACGCGTGCTCCACCACTGCACCACCCAGGCACATTTGGCCGACCACTTATTCGTCAAAGTGAAGATTTTCTAGATTATCGAATAAACGGAGCACTCTTTCATGGGCCACTCCTATTATGAAGCCTATAATGAACAAATTGTCGTTTTCGTTAATGAAGTGAATCTCAGCAAAACATTTGGATAAAGTACTATGCAAGCTGTTCTCTTTATCACGAAGATTTACATGACATACTGTGCAATTCAGGTAGCATATTTACCACATCAGGAAATACCAGCAAAAAGTTATTTTCAGTGTGCAAAAAATGTAGTTATTTTGCTGAACTAAAAGGCGAAAGAGTAATACTCAAAATTTCATATCCATTGTTTCATTTATCAGTGTTCCAAGTCCGATGGTACAGTAATATGGCTAGTGATGTGGTATATGAGGAAGCAAGGTGTTAGTCAAGGCGTTGGTTCAGTACTCTCCTCACTACCCTCCCTGCATTCAATAAACGAACGCTCAAAAGAATGCTTAGGCTCCGCTCCCTCCGTAACTTCTAGGAGAATGGTTTCAATCAGCATTTTTCATATTCAAATAGAAGACAATCCTCAAACACAAATTGAGGCCAAAGCAACACTTGCTGTATCTGAAGTCCTTTGTGGAGGCTGATTGCGAAGAAAAGAATTGCATGTGCTCAGTGAGGGGATCCGCAGAGTGATGACACGTCGCATAAAAATTGCTTTAAATTCTCAGCTGAGGTCTTTAATTAGTTGTTTTATGAAGATTGAGATCATGGGATGCTTTTGCATACGTACTTGCCGTGTTTTCGATGATCGAGTCAAGATCAGTGGTTTATTGCTAATTTTAATCACCAAGCATTCACAAAACAACTGATAATAGCTATTTTGATGTGAAGAGAATTTTTTGATGAATAAGATGTTAATCGAAATGACTAAAGCTCAATAGTTTCATTCGAAGGCAATCCTTTGCCTTTGCGTTGTGCATCCGAGTTGGAAGTTGGCGTTTGTGTTAGTTGCCGAGCAGTAGCCGTTTTGGTAGATTGTTCTTGAGCTTCTTGTGCACCCGGGGTTGATTTAGCATGCTCCTTCAATTACTTATCAATTAATTTTTTCAATGAAAGCAAACTTCCACCAAATAATCAGAGACATCAAAACGATTTTCTAAAGGCCTCAATCGACCAGTTAGATGTTGAAGAAATCAAGCTTAATGAGAACGGAACGAGAATCAAATTTAGGATAAATTTGTGATATCAAAGCGATTGAGCCCATGTGTTTACTGAATAGGAAAATTCACAGTATAAATAAGAAGAAAACCAGGCAGTGTTCATTTGTCGCTGGGAAGCAATTTAGCAAGTGATAGGCTCTCATATTCATCTTATTGAACCACTTATATTGACAAAACAAGTAGACGACTCTATGACCACATGAAAGAGCATGATTATGGATAATAGATTTGAAATTTCAGAAGTACACCTCTGAGTATACATGAGGCGCAAAAGCACAGCGCTAATAATTCGAAGCGACTGTCATGATCTTTTAGCAGAAGTCAACGTGCAAGCTCTTGAAGTTCTGAGTGAAGGCTAAATTTCAAAAATGAACAGAATAATCAGATGCGTCACTATCAGAAAAGATATGGCTCCTTTTCCTTTTCCTGTATAAGTGAAAAGCGCTTATGCATATAGATGAATGCCGAAAGTGTTACACACTTTAGATGTTTGATTAATTCGAAAAAGTGAAGGAATTCTTGACGTATGCTACGAGAAATTTTTAGATAGCTGTGGGTTACACTTTTCTTAGCCACAAATACTTGATGTTTTCTTACCTTTTCCATGAGGTCTAACTCCTTGTTCATTTGCATTGCATATTGAAACATATTGGCGTAGTGCTAAAGAAGAGCTTTTTGAGTAGAAGTCAGATTGCTGAATACGAGAATTATGCTTATCAAAACTCACCGCATCCCGTTGATCAGTGAACGCGTTCCTTTCCTTACTCGCTTCATGATTCCCTCCAGTCGCTGTTCCATCTGCGAATACAACAATTGGTGTGGGAGGATCCGGCTGCAAGTCATTAGAGTGATTTGCCTGATTACATTGAATTTCTACAACTAACTTGATTAGAAAAACTTATTCTGGTGTTGCACCATATGAGGCGCATAAAGCAGTGTGAGGTGCCATCCAATATATAGGATCGTTCGTATACTCGAACCCACGCCCGGATATTCATTTACTTCTACGAAATATGATGAATTTGATCATTGAGCATCGTTTATAGGTATGCTAACACCGAACTTTTTATACTCCATTTTTTGCTCTGGTATGTTTACAGTTCACAATTCATATCATACAATCAATTTTCATCTTCATATACGATGGCGAGAGCCAACCATGATGTTATTATCCATTCAAAGAGCATTCTTAAGAAGTAGGAAGGTAGAGAATTTCAAGAGCCTGCAACGGGCACTATGTCCCAGTGTGGGTTCCAGTGAACAATGGCCACTATATAGTTCTCTAATAGGATTTTGAAGATTTAAAAGTTCAATCCCGATCTTCCTTGTTTTTGTAACCAACCGAGACCAGAGAATCCCTCGGGGAACATTGAGCTTTAATACATGGTGTCTGCACTGTATAAATGGCTTGGTGAGATAAATATCTCAAAACTCACAGCCGACTCGTATCTAGTTGCAATCTAGAAATTACTTCACATCTGGTTGACCAAGCTACAGGTGATCGCCAAAAGGAAAGGCCCTTTAAATAATGGAGAGCAACGCGGTATTTTGCAGCTTTCCTTCTACCAACGTATCATTTGTTGTAAGGAGTGTATTTACATAATGTGTTCTATGCTCCTGATATCACCTACTTCGCCAGAGAAGCTATCCAGTTCTGTTGTCACTATTAATCTAAACTTCCCAAATAATCTCTGTCCAGTAGGTTCACGACTGGATTATTGTTTAAATATATGAAGTTCTGAGTGCCCAAGTCTAAGAGTCATTCTGCAGCAGCAATAAAAGTCTAACAAAGCACTACAGAAGAACATCAAGCGTTGCTTGTCAGAACACCCGATATAACGTGGGTTTCGTTATTCAACTGACATATATGTTCGCATTCGTGGTGTTTGCCCTGATGTGATATGAAGTCCTAATAGCATCGTGTGGATCGGCGTTTGAAGAGGCAGTTCTGGTGCTAGTGGTGCACAGCAAAAAATTTGTTTGTAATATGTCTCTTTCCTGCCATATTTCGATTCTCTGACTCTTATGAAAGCAGAAATGTGAACGTTCCTCAGCGGTTGACTTCGCAGAAGGGCGTATGCAGAGTATGCGTGCTGAGGCTCAACATATACTAGTTAAGCCCTCAGTTATTTATATTGAAATTGTGGAGTATTCTAGCGCTTTAGACTGCTGCCACAAGCTGTCGTTGAGTAATTCTGAACATAAATGATGTTCTCTTTTTGTGTCTACGTTGCCGCAGTAGCTAAAAGATTCCGACTTAGATCTCAATTTGTTAACCAGCTGGATAGTTCTATTGCCGCTCAGAAATAACTTCTGTGATGGTGAGGCAAGCCATTAAGGAGTATAATAGACACTAAATTCCAAAATTTGATTTCAACATGGAGTATGTTTTGGCCATACTTTGAAAACTTTTCCGAAATCTGAGCTTGAAATTGTGACCTGTCAATAACATTCCACTTAATCTTTTTGATACCGTGTTGATTGTTCGCCTGGCACGTGGCGCATTGAGCGGTTGGTGGGGAGTGCTTGCTAGATTTGTATTGGAGTGCGTATCTAGTGAGTCCCAATAAATCGAAGTGCGGAGTAGGCATCAACGACTCGATAACGAGAACGCGAAACCAAAAACATTTGTAGCAGTTCTTACGAATATCAGCTATTTTTATCTGCACATACTCGAATAGTGAAGCTATCTACTTGCAGATAATTAAATAGTTATTTGATAGACAATGGGCCACATTAGCAGATTCGAGTTTTCCACATTAGCCGGCCAGCTATAGTATCCCACACAATTAGCCGTTGTGTTCGCGCAAGCGGCAACTGTTTCGCTCACTAAAGGTCAGTGTTGTGCGGGTAAACTATTCACAGCGCAATGAATGCTTCTTTGGAAAGACGTGTCCTCACACTAGCTGATCAGTGTTATGTTGGCAAACCATTCATAGGTTAACACAAACAAGAAGCCTGGAAAGCGTCACGCTCACAGCAGTAACATTTGACTATGCACGCACTTGGAGCTCGACTGCAACTCCCATCGTCTTAACTCTCAGCTCGTCTCTCCTATAGAAACTTGGTCCTCATTACACTTCACATGCATAATATAAAAGCTTGTTCTTCATAATGCTTCACATGTACAATGTAGAAGCTTGTCTCTCATTACACTTCACATCTCTGATACAGAATCTTCCTCCCCATTAACTCGACATGTATAAGGTAAGAGATCTGCCCCTACATCTTTAATACAGAATCTTAATCTCCTTCAACTCCACACGCATGATGTAGAGACTTGCCTCTTATTACACTTCACATCTGTGATGCAGATCTTGCTCTCCATTACACTTCACATCTACAATATCGATGCTTGCTCCTCATTCTACTTTACATGTATAGCCAGAAGCCTGCTGCGCATTACCCATATGACCTTTCATCTCTAATATTTCCAACTTTTGATCGCATAGTATTTACCTAAGTCCGCTGTAAGTCTATTGTCATCGCTACTTCGTTATTTTCATATTATGATATACGCACAACGGTTTTACCCAAGTTAGAGGTTGTTCGTTACGGCGATGAATACATTCGTTGGTCTCACGATCAGCACTTTTCGTCAACAATTGAATAATAAAAGACCCGCGTAGCAGAATTAATCTTTATAAGTCAGGTCAATCAAGTAACCAAACGGCACGTAATACACTTCCACGCACAAACGGCACAAAGCCTAATTAATCTAGTGCAATCACCAATGAAATCAAACCAATTCAAAGCACTTTCACTGAAAAGTCAATAGAAGATTAAGGCCCACTCTCACCTGGAA